TCAGTATTTTTCCATCAATTAGATCGTAAATAAGCCGATTTTGTCTAATATCAAAAATAAATTTAAAAACTTACGAGAGATTCTCCTCCAGATTTGAAGAGTCAGTATGCGCTAGAACTACAACTTTAGCAAACGAAAACAATCAATATTCACGATGCCCATGTCAAGCAGCGTGCCTACTAGGCACGCAGTTTGAAACTCTGACAAACTGCGCGCATATTTCAAAATGTGAGACGGGGAGGACACGACTCCCAAAAAGAGCCAAAATACGAAAAAACAAGGTTAGTCTCGTTCTAAAGATAGTACCATTCTGTGAAGATGAACTTAATTTACTCATAGTACTCAATGTTCTTCCCGATGTAAACCTAGTTATCTCAATATAAGGGTCTTAAGTAACTTCTGTGTTCTAAATTTACAGTGTAAAGTTATACCTATGTCTTTTTATCGTCATTTGCCGTTTATTCAACCATTGTGTCTGTGTATGCTAGAATATATAGGATCACTCCATCTGATTAAAGGAGCAAAGTTTGTGTTCAAAACGATAATACGCCATAAACGTGATTTTAAACATTTTTCTTGTCAAACTGCGCGCCTATTTTCACATGTATTTCCCAAACTGCGTGCCTAATATTTCCAAACTGCTTGCTTATCCAAGCTTGTTTTGTATTATTAGAAAACATAAGTGCCATACAAGGCACATATGTGTAGAACCCCATAATTGAAACACTATGAGAGTCCATCCACCAAGATGGTGATCTGAAAATAAAAGTTTTTTTTCGTTCCCAACTTAATTGTCACTTCTATTATACATTTTGACTTTCAATATGAAAATCTCATAAAATCTGACGATAAAGCAAAATTTCCAAAGCTACATGAAAACACCTACACGTGCCTCTGTAGAAATTCCTATGATAATATGTAGTTTTAATAGTGTATGCGCTGCGCACAGTTTGTAATTTCTGGCTAAAATAGGCGCGCAGTTTGTGGTTTATTTCTCTTTAATCTCCTGATTATCTGTTTTAACTGGAAATATTTTGAATTATACATGATAAATGTGTAAGGAATTAAATATAAAACGAGTCTAAAGTATTTGTCAGTGCTAGATCGATTTACGTATAAATTCCCGTTAAATCAGTGACGAAAATGCCGCGCCATTAATCTGCTTATGTTTTAAAACTTAGATTCATTTGCACATAGTTTTTGCTAGTATTTGCAAGATTCGTATATTCGCCACAGAATGAACGCATTGAACAAGAAAACAATGCAGGATAAATGTCTTTAATTTAACCTTTAGCGTGCTGCCGGCGGACTCGTCCGCCGAGACTAAAATGTCTCTCACAACTGCCGGCGGACCCGTACGCCTGATTTCAAACTTTTAAAAACTTTACTTTTTCGCGCCATTCGTATTGTCCAATTAGATTGCCCGATTTATTCAGTGCCTAACATGACTTCCTGTTGACCTAGAAATGGCTATATTTCGAAAAATAATTCTCAATTCAACAATTTAAACAGTGTTTTAGTCGTTTTTAGTGAACGAATCGTACAAAATGGTGGACAAATACGATCACAACGAAAATGTGGAGGAAATAGATTACGATTTCGAGCTCTTTAGGCTCTTGGAAGCCGATAACGGTCATCGAAAATAGAAACTAGAATATTTTCTGAATTGAAAAATTGAACATTCGATCGCTGCAAATTCAGATTTGGATTCTGACCAGACGAAGAGGCGGAGCGGCGGATTCCGGAGGAGTATTCATGGTATATTTATGCCCAGTCGTGTTAATGTACGAAAAAATTCATGAGAACATTTTTTCATGAGCCAGGCTACTGTATCTTCCCTTTGTGAAAATTTTATCCAGATTCATTCAGTAGTTATTGAGATATTAATTATTTAGTCCAGGCATATCATTTTTTGCACTCTTTGAAAAATAAGCCAGTTGCGTGGGATAAGGCAGCATGGTAAAGGTTAAATTACGTTTCAAAATACAGACTCCAACTTAAATGATGCAATGTTGTTAGGCACGCAGTTTGTGATCGAAACAAACTGCGCGCCTAAGTAGGCGCGCAGCTTGACATGGGCACCGTGATATTTATTGATTAAATATAGCGGTAGTGGATGATCCGATAAAACCCCGTTCGATGAAGAATAACTATATCATCATATCAATTAATCAATTGTGCAGTGTATATGAATAATATTTCAATCATCGCGATATTTTATCTTTGTTTCAAATATTTAACTCGTTTCATTTCAAGTTTGACTTCGTAGGCTCTCTATAATGGCAGCACCGACCGAAACCTTTACGATAGAAAATGCTTATAAAAAACCTCAAGAGCTCAGTTTGGGAGCACTTTGGTTTCCCAAGACTGGATGGGGTAAGGCTGATGTTCCGTTCCGAAGGTCTAAATAACGTTCCGTCCCGTTCCGAAATGTTTCTGTTCCATCCCACCCCTAGTGTCGTCCAGCGTAGGTTATTTGTGATGTCAATTCCTAGGTATGGGATGTGTGTTACCAATCTTAAGGTTTTCCCCTAGCATGTAGTGTGTTCCAAATGGTAGTGAAAACTGGTGCCAGTATTACAGCAATTCAATACCTTACCGTCACCGAATACCGCAGTTTTGGGTCTACGTTCGCGAATTCGTACATTTCTGTGACTGAGTTTAGATTTTGTCAACGTTTTTTGGTCCCTTTCATAGTCATGATTTATCAATGTCTTACCCGATTGTCGATAATTTCTGCATTGAATTAAGACATCTACAGCCAGCTATTTAACGTAGTCATTCCTCAAATTGAAAAAATAAAAATATTTTCATTTTTTGACAAGTTATTCAACTCTCCAGGTGGCGCCCTAACTCTAAGGAGATAAAAACAAAATGTAAATATTTCCGATGTGAAAAAGATTTCTTTTCTTCACTTTTTATCGATGATAAATGCTTAATCTTGCGAGATCTGGCAAGTTTAATTGATTCTTTAGATATTCCGGTATCAGGTATTGGAATTTCAGTGCCGACATTAGGCCAGAATGCCACCGTAATGGTACTTCCGGCAATACCGCAGATCACTACTAGCATGGTGTAATTGTGAATGATAGGGGATTTACCTTTGTGTATATTTAGCACATAGCATTTTCATTTGCCATGTTGATGCCCAGGAGACCAGTTTATCAAGATTCTCCTGTAGTGTTAATGCATCAATGATGTCATACAACTTCATTCTGTTTTTTCCTAATTCAAAATGATGTCATATATAGACATAAAGACTATGTTATTATTTCTTAGAAATGATGAAATTCGTCATTTGGGGAACTAGAAGTTAGAACGTCAAAGAAAGCTACCAAAAATCACTTAAATTGTACAGACTATGTGATAAAATCGTCATCACACTTTTCAGCGTATGTGTTATGGGAAATATTATAGTATGACGACTCAAGCTGCGCTTTCGTGGTGATACAATTTTTACTTTCGTGGAATATTTCCCGTATCACATGCCGAAACGTGTAATAACTGATAGTATTGGTCATTGATAGTGGTGTAACGAGTGATTTGGGTAATCGACTAGAACTCGAATGAGCCTAGAAAAATGATCAATCGATTGAAAATCATGATCCTGAATATTTCTGAGAATAATCGTGATTTACCCTCCATACTCACGATTTAAGCAAGGATTGTAGCCGTCTTTATATTTTTCTAATAAATTACATACTTCCGACTATATTCTGCAGATTGTTTTGTTGATTTAATGGTCAGTTGATGAGAATAAAGTATGAGAATCGTATTCATTGCTTTTTATGTTTGTTTATATCATGGGCTTTCAACTAGAAGGGTAGGCAACTTCCCATATTTCATACATAAACATTGCCATGGGTTTTCAAAATTGGAGAATGTACACATTCCAAGAAAATCTTATTTTGTACTTTTTATTGATGATTAAAAGAAATAACTCAAAAATAAAAACATGATCTTCTACATACATCTTGATAATTTAATAAAAATTAGAATTCATCATAATTATGACAATACAGAAAGTGAACATTCTCCCACAAATTATGTTTTTATTGGAATGTGTTCTTGAATAATTACCCACAATGCAATACTCAAAGAGAACATCTTGATAACTCTTATTCTTATTGGTCTCTTTTGTTTACTTTTATATGATATTGAATATATTTTATGCTTAAATCATATTAAAAATTGATTTTTATTCAAAATAATACTAAAACATATACATTTATCTAATACTTTTTGAAATATTGCCATAAAAGGGAAACATGTCATTGCTCATTTTGAAGGTCTCATGTTATTACATAGAGTTGCATACCCTTCTAGTTGAAAGCCCATGTTTATATCCGGTATCGCATGCGCATGCACATATGTATTTTGACGGAAGTGGGAATTTCAAAGTCGAAAAAAATCCATAAAAGGCTTATATCATTTCTAATATAAGGTAAATGTGCGTCTAAAACATCCAAAACGGAACTCAATCCGTTCAGAACTACATGTACATCATTGAGTAACCAAAAGTCGATGTTAGTGAGTCCCACCACTATGACAGATGTTTGGTTTCTGTGCAGCGTCTGTTATTTCGTCGCCACCTTTGTTATGAAGCACGATGATACCTGATGCATCTTTGCGTTAGACTTTATGTAGCTCCAGAAGCGTTTGGTAATGCCTTTGTGCTGAACATTCTCATTTATGATTTCGCTTTCATCAATGTAGGCTAGAGATCGTTGATGTAGCGCTGATGTTCTTTACGAATTTCACTATGGATTTGGCATTATTTACCTTCATGCGTATCATTTATCATCTACCATGTTTCGTCAAACTAGCATAACATATAAAAGAAACATACCTTTTGGAAACTGAAGCTCAGAAGCATCTTCTTCTTGCTGTTCATTTGGAAGTTGTGCACTCGCTGGACCTGCCATTTTGAATGTGACGTCATTAATTTGAAAACGAACTATGTAAGCAAGTATGATAACTATTTTATCTCAATTTCCAATTATCTCTTTGTGGTGTTAGACCAATGATTGATACCATGTGTATCCAAAAGAAAATATTAGTTTATGCTTTGCTTCATAATTTTTGTAGAACATCATATTTGACGCTGCAAAATATTAATTCAAACTCGTGAAGGCAGTAACTTATAGAAACTATTGCAGGTCATCTGATTTGTGGGAGGAAAATATTAAAAAATGACACATTCTGCTAAATCTGGGAAATTGCTCGCAGTTATCGGAGATGAGGTATGTGTTCTTAAAAATGTTTATCTGGAGACATTTGGGGAGATAAACTAAGTCTATTTAGATATTTTAGTCCCAGTTTTAACTTTACCAAATTTGTATAAATTTGGCCAATCAAAAAATCAATCGGAAAAGTTCTGACCTAGGCTACTTCCTGCGAAAGTTATGTGGATTTTGATATAGCTTTCCCACGGCGCACTTGGACAGCTGAATAATAGTGACCTTTAAGCCTTAAACATGAACAATGATATCTGCTGCATACTTTTGGTCTCTAACTAAACACAGGGGCTTGTCTCGAGGGGTCGGGCAAGCCCTCCGATGAGTGTACTGCTTATTAAGGCGAAGCTAAATTAAATAAAATGTACAAAAAATGACTGCCATATTTTTTTGATAAAGACACATGTTTTTAAAATCTGTTTACCTTGTATATGAATTGTATATCTCGACTAATGAAACATGTCAAAGTTAACATCACACATAAACGTAACCAAACCCGTCTGGCCCAGTTATCTACTCCTGACATCGTAGATCTGGGCCAGACTCGATCCAATGCAAAAAATGGGGTATTTACTCCGGAAAAAACACACTGGTTTTTCAATGTATAATACGTGCTGATAAATGAATAAACATCATAAAAATCACTTACGTGTTTGTTCCTTGTATCAAACTTTGTATTTATATTAGGTTTCCATCGCTGGATGACGGCTAATAAATAAGAACGAAACGTCTAAACGCAGCAAAAAGAAAAATTCTTCTGCAATCTGTTCGTGATCTCGTAGAATATCGAGAAGTCTCGGCTGCTTATTTCGTTCAGTACTACATTCCGTCAGTTCAACAAATTGAAAAATCGTATTTAATGTCCACCATATTTCTTTCCAGTTTAAATACAACACAGACACGTCTGTTTTATGAAGTAATCTACGTTTTGATAACAAATCTGCTGAACAAATCGTAATATTTGGAATGTATTGATTCCCGGGAAATGTATTTTCGTTCCATGAAAGTTTAAAAATTATCGCGTCACACTCGTGTTACGTCACATCACGTGACTTTATTCGGTGCGGAGAACTGACGAAATATTGACGAAATGTTGTGCCCATTTCAACATCAATATAACAAACAAAACACCACATTTACGCATAAGTTATGTTCTCTTTATTTCAAATAAATACTTGGGTTTACATGATACCCGATGTTTTGGTTGGACGGCTAATAGGGAATGAATAATAAGTGATGATTCAGCAGTGTGTAGATTACTGGGCCAGACGGGTTTGGTTAACATAAACGCATTTTTCCAAACTATGAATTGGAGGTGTATGGATCCCCAAAGCTAGCATGAAGAGTGCGAAGTGAGGCTAATTTTTGAAAGTTTCAAGGAGTAGCCTTGCAACAGTCACACATTTGCAAGAGTCTAAAATTTCCACAAATCATCTTACCTTTCCCAGGAACAACGAAGGAGCATGAAAATGTGCACTTCTTGCATTGTTAGAGTATAATAAAGCTCAAACCATTGTAAATTCTAAGGTATGAGGTTCCATATCCATCCGCCAAAAGGTATGACCCCTATATAGTCCATTTAAAAACTCGTGGTATTGTTCTAAATAACGCCATAGTTGGCTTGTAGGGTACCTAGTATGCCACTATTTGGTATCAAAATAAAAAGGAGGAGTTCAACTTTCATTTGAATTACGAAAATAGCGATGTAGGTCAAAAATAGTTCCGACGTGAGCATGTTTACTACGCGTTTGCCCATCATATCAGAATTGAGGAAGTGGTAGCAAACGCGAGTCACAATAAATGGACGCTGATATCTCAAAAAGTAACCTGCCTTCTATAATTTGATGTAGATCAATCGAACCCCTATATGAACAGGTACATTTTGATATATAACACTATGGGGGATAAGCGTTTTATAGTTGGTCACGAACGCCATATGTGCAAAGTATTGTTATGAATTTTCGAATTTGGTGTTGGATTACGGTACTCATACCTTAATATGAGGCCTAAAATTGTCTGCTAGTTGGCCAGAGACCAATATTCTAGCAGAATTTGAGAATAGAATCGATTTTTTTTCGTTCTGCGTAGGGCAAACAATGATTTGAAATCACTTTCAACCATTCTGTGAGTATAAGAATGGTCATAAGAGGCCCGTGGAGGGTCATGAATGAAAGAAAGCCCTCTGAAATTCCGTCAAAATTGCAGGTTATTTCTTCATTTTTTGCTAAAATTACATGATTTTCAGGGCCCATATCTCAGTGAAATTGCTACAATGTAGCGATTTTTTATTTTTACAGGCTAGATACACGTGTCAGGTCGACAGAAACAGTAAGCATGTGTGATTTTTAAATTGCTACATTGTAGCAATATTTATTTCAAAATACAGGTGTGAGGGAAACTGCAATTTAGTTAGATTTGGGCGAAAATGGCCAAATTTCAGTCAAAATCCTCGGGACACAGGGCCTTTGTCTTAGATTTAGTCAATGATGCAACTCTTAGTAGAAGGTGTGCCATATAGGGAATGAAAGCTGTTTGTCAGACGTATCATTTTCTTCAATAAACTCAGAGATAGTCAGGTTAGATTTGTGACGTCACAGTGGCAAAGTTAGACTAGCATATTTAGACGTATTTGGGGTAGGGCAAATTAACCCTTTCTAGCCTAAATGGATAAATTTTTCACATATTCAGCCAGTTCTGACGTTTTTATGCATTTTTGAACTAGAAATGATATTTTCTGCCAAAAAAAGTTGCAGAGATAAAAATCAGTGTGATGTCATAAAACATTAAGGTATGAGGTTCCATATCCATCCGCCAAAAGGTATGACCCCTATATAGTCCATTTAAAAACTCGTGGTATTGTTCTAAATAACGCCATAGTTGGCTTCTAGGGTACCTAGTATGCCACTATTTGGTATCAAAATAAAGAGGAGGAGTTCAACTTTCATTTGAATTACGAAAATAGCGATGTAGGTCAAAAATAGTTCCGACGTGAGCATGTTTACTACGCGTTTGCCCATCATATCAGAATTGAGGAAGTGGTAGCAAACGCGAGTCACAATAAATGGACGCTGATATCTCAAAAAGTAACCTGACTCCCTATAATTTGATGTAGATCAATCAAACCCCTATATGAACAGGTACATTTTGATATATACAGTAACACTATGGGGGATAAGCGTTTTATAGTTGGTCACCAACGCCATATGTGCAAAGTATTGTTATGAATTTTCGAATTTGGTGTTGGATTACGGTACTCATACCCTAAATATTTCATGTCCACCATTTTGTTTGCTGGAACTACTTCTAGACTTCCTGATTAATCCTCATACAAGTTTTGTGACTACACCAAGTGGCATAGATTATCACTTGTATATTTTATCTATTACAGTATAATTATCATGATAGATACATGATAGAGGCTTTATGAATGATAAACAATGGATACACGAATGTGGATAACTCTGGAGTAAAAAATAGTTCCAGGAAACAAAATGATGGACATGAAATATTTTTACAATTTCTTAAGAATCTCGCTAATGAAATTATAATTTTATTAACGAGATCTTATTAAGAGTTCATATCGCATAATAACCCTTATTATCGGATTCCAGCTGTTAGTAGTATTAATTTGAATAAATTAAAACTGAGTAGTGCAGCTGAGTGGACATGTATATGCAACGATAACTAGGTCTATTGCTTAGATGCCAACTTAATATTCTGAAGCCATTGAAAACTCACCTTACTATGAGTAAACTTCAGTGAATTCTTTGACAAAGAAAACAACTACATCCACTGCTTGTGAGATGTCCAATTTATCCCTAAATCTTTGTGGGATGCAAAGTTAAAATAAAGTCCTTGTGTAGTATAAGATATAAACCTATTACTGTTTGTGAGATTTAAACTTTAAAATCTTTCATTACAACTTTGAGAGTGTAAAAATGCAAATACATTATTTGACTTGATGAAGATTGTTGAATGTTAATTCTATCCTTCATAACTCAGTTGTCTGTGGTTATGTTCTGAAATAACACAAAACTGTGTTTTAGTGACAATTAACGACTGGGTGGGCGAGGAGGGAATATATGAACTCTTAATAAGATCTCGTTAATAAAATTATAATCTCATTAGCGAGATTCTTAAGAAATTGTAAAATTTCTATTACACTCATCTTATTAAGAGTTCATATCGCATGTTTAAAGTAAAATAACCTCAGAACAACTGATCTAAATCCTTTCGATTTCCTTTATCAGTTTATCAGTTTGTAAAATTGTTAAGCATTCAATTAATTTGCATTTCCCATGACTTGGTTTGTAGATATATCAAATGTTCAAGTTTATGGTACTGTTACTGCATACCTGGTTAAATATGTCTTTCAAATGTACTTAAATGTATTTATTAAATATCTATTTATTTTATTCTATAAAATTAAAAACCTTTATGTATTGTTATAGAAACTGCTAGTGTGTATGTATATGAGATGTTTTACTGGATATGTACACGCATGGCATCGCATGACATTTGACAAGGATAATTTAAACTTCCTTCTTATGATTCCCTTCTACTACTAGTAGTTTGTTTCAGATGTTTCTGGTATTTTCTAAATGCTAGTACAACATCATTAACTGGATTCTCATGAAAGAAACTTGGAACCCCAATTTTATGAGTTGACATTCTGTCTTTGACAACCATCCAATGGCATATTATATCAGAGACCCTGGGATACATGCTTGAAATAGACATTAACATGACTAATTGTGTACTTTCAGTTGAGATTTCTATTCTGACCCGAATGTTCAATGTGAGATACAGTACAACCTTATTCACATCCCAAGTTTCATTTATTTTATTTAGTGGGTTTCCATTGTAAAAGTTTCCATAAAATCTATGACTATCTATGGTTCCATTACATGTATATGCTGATTTTGCAGACTTTAAGTATCGAGAAACGAATAGCACATACCTGATTTGACATTTCAGTTAGGAAATTGGCTAAATTTGTATCAGAG